ATATGAACTCCAATGTGTTTTGGTTATTAATGGTGTTTAATAGTGGATTCGGCGAGAATCATGTGTCTAGATAGCTAGATGCAGAGCGCTAGTCTTGTCAGAATAGCTTAGGGTTCATACGTAGTAACAGCGTAGGCCAGCTGTTCACTACACCTGTCCCCAAGGTGGCCGTATGCCCGGTTGCTGTCGGCCAGCGTTGTATAGCTCGCGCTTGAGTGACCATGACGGTTCCGGCGTACGGAACCTCTCAATAACGTATTATACGGATGCTATAACTTGGACATTACGCATCTATTCACTTGTAGGCCCCGCGCACTACGGTTCCCGCCGTGAGCGGCAAGCCCACGAGATGCAGCACTCGATACGTGTTTCGAGTTGAAGAACAAGTTCCGTCAAATTACTTCTTGTTTGTAATCGCCATCAGCAGTTGTTTTTTCTGTCATTAGTTTATGAGAAAGAATTTCGTGAGGCCCACACAAGCTGCATCGCCAGCTTGCAGGTTACCTCTTTCGCTGCCCCCTTCCTTCCTTATCATTCTCTGCGCACTTTTGCGGAGCTATTCGCCCGTAAATAGCATTATCTTTGCATGACCTGCTTTGAAACAAATCAGTTGCCGTCGAAATGTGCTCGGGGAGTTCAGGAAATCGAGCTTCTTCAAGCCGATCACCCTAGGAGGGATATACCTACGCGCTCGCCGGTTAGCTGCGTTGGATGCTCCTCCGGGTGACTGGCCTCATTGTGACAATGAAAATCAAGAAGCACTCATTCAAATGGCCTGACTTGCGCAGGTGTTTCCGGTGTTTGTGGCTGTTTGTGGCACTCTGGACTGTGGAGCAGCAGAATGTGTACTCATCAAGGGCATCAGGTAAAAGGGCCGCCGAGGAGGATTCAGAATTGGAAACCACCAGAGGAGTACCGGACGACACGATGGCTAGGTTGCATGCGGAACTGGCTGCCCAGCAGGAAGTAACGGATCCCCAGCTGGCGAGTTTACACCTTACAGAGAATCGATGCCACGTAATTGCATTCACTGTGCTTTTCTTAATCTTAATAAGGGCAGTTGTACTTCTCAGGGAGAGAGAGCGCAAAAAGAAGGCGGAAGAAGAAGTTAAACCTCCCCGAGAGGAACTCCAACCGGAAGGGGAAGAAGGAAAAGAAGAAGCAGGAGAAGAAGAGGAAGAAATGCCCGTTCTAGAAGACGAAACTTCACCGGGAGCGGCAGTTTTGTCACCAGAGGAACCGGCGGGAGAAACAGCTCTGCCCCAAACGCCTATGCCACAAATTCCCGTGCCGATGCCGCGGCGTAAACCAAAGGCGGACGTTCCGGAGGAGAAACAACCAGAGGAGCGTGGTGGCGATGGAGTACCAGATGAAGGATTCGTGCCGAGACCGACAACTCGTACGAGGAAGACCGGAAAGGAGTTTGTCCGGAAGGCGGGGCTTCCTCCCGCGGCCCCTCCCCAGGTGCAACCAGGTATTGAAGAGGAAGAGGAAGCGGCAGCAGAAGAACACGCCCAACAAGCGACTCAGCCACCTCCTGTAGAGCCTACTACACCACAACCTACCTTGCCACAGCTTCCAGAGCAGCCAGATCCAGGTCCAGCGCCAGGTGTGCCCGAAGTTGAGTACATGGAGCCTTCTGTCCCTCCAGCCGTTGTCACTTTGCCGCCCCACGAATACCAAGGACGCACACCTGTTGCGTATATCCACGAAGATAAGGAGCTGCAAGAATTAAGGGCTCGGCGGAACGTCATCAGCAATCTGGTGAATGTTGCGACCATGCTGGTAAATGAATTGCCGGGAATTGAGGCACGGTCAATTCTCGATGTATTAAATGAAAACGTGGACACAGCTGAAGAGGCGGAAAGGCAGTACAATGTTGCAAAGGGCTGCATGGATCCAAACCTTCCACTCATTCGGAGTGAGACCGTCAGCAAAATGGAAGCATCCATTGGAGGAGCCCGCGATGCTCTAGTGGAGTTGGTAAGTCTTGCAAAATCCCACGGTCAGCAAGTGTATGAGTACTGTTCAGAGAAGATTTTTTTTTCAGACGCCGAGGGTTTGCAGAGAGCTCTGGGGAATATGATGGATTCGAATGCATTCAAAATATCTCTCTTGACGCTGGCTAGGGTGGCAAGTGCTTCTATA